GACTATGTTATGATTTACGGTTTAAGGTTTAAAGATGATTTCAGGACAGTAGTTTCAGTGGTACATCTAGCCTCCATGGCTCCATGAAGTCTGGATTCTATGAGAATTTAACATTCTGTTCTATATTGTCCCCCTTTTGATCAGGATTCTTCTATAGAGTTTTTGATGAAAATGATGGTAGCCAAGTACCATCCAGCTCTTCTGGTCTCATGGCCAAGGAGGCAGTTTTCATGGAGACAGTTACGTTGACATTTTTGAAGAGCCTAGGCCGGCTTTTCTGTAGAATAACTAGCATAACACACTGGGAGGCATCTCATTCTGTCTGTTCACTGTGGATATGAACGTGAATAACTTGATAACAGTGCCTCTGCCATACAGAGTTCTCCACTGTCAGGCTCTGTTTTCTCCTTGTGGGTCACACCTATCTTCTCAGGTGTTATTTTGAAACTGTGCAAATGTTCTGATACAGGCGGTCCCCAGTTACGAATGTCCAACTTATGGACAACTCATGTTCGCCCTTTAATGTCATGTAAATTTGCTCTTGTTTTAAAACCATTGAACCAATTCTTCATCACAGTTGCCTTCACTTGTGTCTCATGCAGCTCTGAGATCATTGAAAAGGCTTCTGTCCTTGTACTAAGCAAACGCCAATCCCGACTCACTGCCATTGAGTCGATTCTGACTCAGAGCGACCCCCACTGGTTTTCTGAGGTGGTAAATATTCATGGAAGTAGATTGCCCTGTCTTCCTTCTGCAGAGTGGCTGGTGGGTTTGAACTGCCAACCTTCTGGTTAGCAGTCAGATGCCTTAGGCACTGCTCTACCAGAGCTCCTTTTCTTACACTAACCAAACCAAACCAAATTGACTGCCGTCGAGTAGGACCCGACTCATAGTGACCCCTCCTTGGGTTTTCGAAGCGGTATCACTACAGAAGTAGATTGCCCAGCCTTCCTTCCAAGGAGTGGCTGTGAAGCTAAATAAGAACCCTATGCACCTGCTCCGACTTACCTACAAAACCGACTTGAGGACACACTTAGGAATGGCTCTTATTTGTTCTTAACCTGAGGACTGCTTGTCACCCACTCCCATCCCTCTTGATCCTCGCCATGGTCCTGAAGAAGTGACCTGTGGCCTTGCAGCATTGTGCAGATGAGGGAAATCAAGGCTCAGAGTATGTTAGAGCCTTGCCCGGGGCCACACTTAGGGAGGCAGATGCCACAGCCTCTGACTCCTCCTTACCCTGCATCTTCCCGTCACCCCCACATCCTAATCCATGTAGTGGTGACTGTAGTGCCGCCCTCCCCATCTCGGGGTGGGTGTCAGGCTCACAGGGGCTGACCTAAGCTGCAGCTCATCGAGCCACTGCTGTGTGGTAGGCCCC